TTACGATTTTTTTATTTTTTTCGGACCTGGATTTAAATCACTTGTTACAACGACTACAACAAGCGTGAAATTTTTAAAATTATTTTTTTTTTCAAAGATTATAACAATTGTATTTTTAAAATTAGTTTTATTTACAGATTATAAAAATCCCGTATAATAAAATTGTTGTTTAAAAATATGTTTCTCATGAACTACTGGAAGCGTAGATTATAAAAAATACTAACTTAAGCGAATGTGAAAATTATTAAAACATGTCAACATATATTATTTTTTTACAAACACTATATATGTCAGAAGAGATAATCAACCTACACACACACACAAAATCGTACCATTTAATACCTTTATAGAATGTATTTCCAAAACTACCTAATAGATCTACACTAATTTAGGCACCATTTATTACCTTTTGTACTCTAGTAGTACTTTTTTCCAAAACTAATTCCACATTTCATAATTCGAGCTCCATAGGTTCACCCTAATTTAAAATTTACCAAATATAGTAAAACATCAACAATCATATATATGATTGATTTCAATGGAATCATATATCCAAATTTCAGGATACCAAAATAAATTACGAATCGCAATCTCACGCCCCAAAAGCTATAATATCTCCAAATTTCAGGATTCCAGCTCAATTAAAATTCAAATTGTACCAAATTTCGTTTCATTTTAGTACATATAAGTTCGATTTTTCTAAAACTACCTATATCATACAACCAATAGAATCCTAATTTCCCGATTTCATGATTCCAGCCCTATCAGGCCACTCAACGCTATTTTAAAATTTCTGGGTTCAATACAAATTCAAACTGTATCAAATTTAGTACACATTAGTACGAATTTCCAAAACTTCCTAAATAGCAAAACGCCCCACAGCGATCCTAACACCAAATTTCATATAGTTGCATACCTCAATTCTACAATGCAATAGTATTTCCAAATTTCAAACCAAAACAAAAAAAATTAAAAAATTAAACCAAATCCAAATAGCATTGAATATGAATTGAATAAGTACAATTTAGTACTTTTCGTACACATAAGTACAAATATCCAATACGTTTTGGGTCTTCGGCGCGGCTCATTTTGCAGTGAAAAATCGCCAGTCCGGAATTTTTTCGAACCAACGCTGCACTTTCCGATCGTTAACCGTATTCTACCCAAATGCTTTTGCAGCACTATTACCAAGTTTGACTCATATAAGAAAATGACGCCAATGTCGGCAGAAACAAAAAGGGAAGCCCTTCGAGAAAACCTATTATGCTGAATGAGTCTCTGGCAATGGACAATACGACTATAAATGAGGATGCGGCAAAGGCAAAAGTATAACGAAAACAGGAAGACAAACGTCCGCATGTAAAGAGAATATGACATTTCATACGCACCAACCTAATATTATTAATTTTCTTTGCGACTTCGTGCCGTAAAACATGATAGCTTATATAACGTAATATATTTTGAAACTACATTAGAAAATATTGCGTGTAATTTTAAAAAGAGGAACTATTGTAAATACTCAGTTAATTTTGAAAGGTATTAAAAGGCCCATCATGACCAACCAAACATAATTTTTAATATGTTTTACACAAATTTATTATTTCTTCTCAAAATATTTATTTTTCTTTCTTAATATTCCAAAATTCACAATAAAAATATTTTCATTTTATAAAAAAAAAATCTTAAAGCTAATTTTTTCTTTAAAAGCTGCAGTCTTCACAAATGTTAAAAAATGCCGCTCTTATTCATCATCCTCTTCTTCGACATGAGCTGGTTTACGTCTCGATTGACCACGTGTACGTTGAGGCTTCTTCTTTTCCTTGGGTTTGGGATTTTCCAACTCCTCCAATTCGGCATCAGTCAAACGGTCCTTGTACCAATCGGCACTGCAAAAAAGGAAAAAGGATTAATATTTTCCATTACAAAGTAACTTTTCTCACTGTCTTACCATTCTGGCACCAAACGAGCCCATTCACAATGTTTCTTGGTATCATCGAACACTTGACCCAATTTACAGCCATTACGACGTGGTGTATCACCATTTACACAGACATAGAAAAATTGACAATCATCGGGATCAGCATAGCGAGGATGTGTCACAGCAATGGTTTCATTGACAGCTGGACATTCAAATTCAAAGATATCTTCCGACTTGCAACCGCTGACACCAACCTCATCGGGCCAGGTGCAGATGCCAGTCTTGGGATTGAATACCAAACCAGCTGGGCAGGTGATCATATTGAATTGGCCATCAACGCAGTAGTAGAATTTATCACAAATGCCAGGTTTCTCATGGCCGAAATAGCCATTCTTGCGTGGGCAATGTTGGGTGGGTTGTGGGGGTTCTGCAAAACAACAAATATTTAAATGTTGAAAATAATGTAATAATCATGAACAAATATGATAATTAATGCTGACTAAATTGGAGATTGATGTATATGTTAATATTAAGAACCCACATCATTTTCTGTGGCTGTAATTTGGCAAGGCGTAGTAAAGTGGCTATAGTACCTTACTACAGTCTGATTTGTCACGGATTCGAATCCCAGTGGAGCTGGAACAATTACTTCAAAATTGTAATCGATATTGTTTTAAATAGGCGTCTATCCCCTTCTAGAAGCCCTCTGAAGTACTAATAAACCAATAATAGAAATGAAAGGAGATAGCGCGGCCCAGAAGAAAATCACAACACTAAATAAACAAACATCGCAACCATTGAAAAAATTCCAAGAGGCGTTGTTTCTATGCAACAATAGATGCCAGCCCCATTATCAACGACAAGCTACAGCAAATCAATCAACTACTTAACTGGAGTAAAAGCAATTGATAACAAAGCTAACGCAAGAAATAATCGAGTTCGATAACGAAGCTTTATGGACAGGAGAAACGAGACATGAATTTAGTTGCGAATTAATGGTTAATAGGGGATTAAAAGATTTCGTCTCCAGATTCACCTCAGTGGATGATCGAATTGCTATAATCTGTATAAAAGCGAAGTTCTTCTACATTAGTCTCATTTGCGACCATGTTCCGACGGAAGACAAAGATTAACAGACGAAAGACATATTCTACAAGCACATAGAAACAGCATATGATCGCTACCCTGGCCAAGACATTAAAATTCTGCTAGGAGATTTTAATGCAAACACCGGAAGGGAAAATATTTTTTGCCCCACCATCGAAAAATTCAGCCTCCACGAAGAAGGCAGCAAAAAACATGGTAATTCAAGCATCTCGATATACACAAAGCCATATGGCTTTCTCTCGATCAAACATCTGAAAAAAATTGATCATTTAGTGATAGGCGGATGACATTCAGCCAGTTTTTAAGACGTTCGATCGATCCGAGCAACGAGTATCGATCCGAGGAACGAGTATCGATTCGAACCATTACCTTGTAACAAGGTTCGCACTCGTCTTAATGTAGCAGCAAAGGTGCGATATACCACAACTCGATGTAGACAAGCTGCAAACACAACTTCGCCGAATTTAATTCTACTCATGTGAAAAACGCCCTAAACAACCCTGTACGATGAACATGATTCAGAATGAAGTCCGGAAATTTTACAACCGTATAGCTGAAGGCTTCAGTGCAGTCACATCATCCTGTAGAGATGAAGAAGGAAGCCTGGTGACAGATACAGACAGCGTGTTGAGGATCTGGAAGGAGCTTTTTGAAAAGCTTCTGGTATCAAATGGTGGCGGTGAAGAAGAGACCCCAGAACCAATAAGAGATGGCAGTATATAGTGTATACCACCTAGCCAAGATAAGGTAATAAATCCACCATTGACCACATCCTGGAAAAGAATAAACTCTCGAATAAAGCCGCATTTGACGGCCCAATCCGCTCAAAGTTGTTTACAGCCATATCTGCGTACTGCATTCCTAGAGATGGTATTTTCCGGGTATTTACCCGGTAAATACCCAAGGGGTGGGTAAATACCGGGTAAATACCCATTTGCGGGTATTTATTTGGGTATTTACTATGTTAAATCGGTAATACAACATCTTACACCCTATTTACGGGTTTCTGCTATCAAATCGATTTAGAATGTATAGTTTTACGATACTATAAAGACGTGGGTAAATACTTGGGTAAATACCCGAGTTTTTAACCCAAAAATTGGGTATGAACTCATTAACTGCCGAACCACTTGACATAGGCGGCCAAAATTTTGCATACATGTTTTTAATGCCAAAGCAAATATAGAAATCCAAAAATGGGGTCTCTGGGTCCAAGTTTTGATATAGCCCCCATATAACCGTATCTCCCGATTTAAGGTATTTTTTGTCTATTAAACACATTTTACAACCAAATTGGTTGTACTTTGGCACAGAGTGTTCTTTTTGGTTACCAAATGTCCATGCAAAAATTTATGTATGTAGGTCCACGTTTACTGGTAGCCCCCATACAAAGGTACCCCTATTTTGAGTATTTACCCAAAAATTGGGTATAAACTCATTAACTGCCGAACCACTTGACATAGGCGGCCAAAATTTTGCATACATTTTTTTAATGCCAAAGCAAATATAGAAATCCAAAAATGGGGTCCCTGGGTCCAAGTTTTGATATAGCCCCCATATAACCGTATCTCCCGATTTAAGGTATTTTTTGTCTATTAAACACATTTTACAACCAAATTGGCTGTACTTTGGCACAGAGTGTTCTTTTTGGTTACCAAATGTCCATGCAAAAATTTATGTATGTAGGTCCACGTTTACTGGTAGCCCCCATACAAAGGTACCCCTATTTTGAGTATTTACCCAAAAATTGGTTATAAACTCATTAACTGCCGAACCACTTGACATAGGCGGCCAAAATTTGGCTCAGATGGTTTTTATATCAACACAAATACTGATATGGGAAATGGGGTCCCTGGGTCCAAGTTTTCATATAGCCCTCATATAACCATACCTCCCGATTTTTGGTAATTTCCTGGCTGGAATTTGGCACAGAGAGTTCTCTATCAACTATCCATTTGGATTTCTATGTTTGCTTTGACATTAAAAACATGTATGCAAAATTTTGGCCGCCTATGTCAAGTGGTTCGGCAGTTAATGAGTTTATACCCAATTTTTGGGTAAATACTCAAAATAGGGGTACCTTTGTATGGGGGCTACCAATAAACGTGGAACTACATACATAAATTTTTGCATGGACATTTGGTAACCAAAAAGAACACTCTGTGCCAAAGTACAGCCAATTTGGTTGTAAAATGTGTTTAATAGACAAAAAATACCTTAAATCGGGAGATATGGTTATATGGGGGCTATATCAAAACTTGGACCCAGGGACCCCATTTTGGATTTCTATATTTGCTTTGGCATTAAAAACATGTATGCAAAATTTTGGCCGCTTATGTCAAGTGGCTCGGCAGTTAAGGAGTTTATACCCAATTTTTGGGTAAAAACTCGGGTATTTACCCACGTCTTTAAAGTATAGTAAAACTATCCATTCTATATCGATTTGATAGAAAAAAAACCGGAAATAGGGTGTAAGATGTTGTATTACCTATTCAATATAGTAAATACCCAAATAAATACCCACAAATGGGTATTTACCCAATTTACCGGGTATTTACCCAATTTACCGGGTATTTACCCACTGCCCATCTCTATGCATTCCGACAAATTAATGAGGATTACTATAACAAGCACAAGGTCAGCCCATCGCAGTAATGTTCAGACAAGGTGATAGCCTCTTGTGTGACCTTTTAACATCCTGCTGGAAAAGGTCATACGAAAGGGAAAGGTTAAAAGAAAAGACACTATGTACACCAAACAACATATGTTACTCGCCTACGTCGATGACATGATTGGTCAAACGTTGCAAGCGATACCAGCCACTTTTGAACAAATTGAGAAGGAGTCTGCATGAGTGGGTATGACCGTAAATGGCGAGAAGATCAAGCTGATGGTATGAACGAGCAAGACGTTGGGTAGACTCGGACCAATTGTGGGACTTGATACCACCATAAATAAAATGCGGCAGTGAAGATGTTAAAAAATTATATTTTGAAGCTCTATCAACAGCGTTGTTTTTCAAGAAATCAGATGGATCTTTATTTAATTAGGAACGAAGGATTTTTGAGACATATTTTTCAAAACAATTACTCAACAGTTTGCCTATTTAGTTAAAAAAGCCAATGTTTCTGATGTTATCTATAAAAAATATTCCAGACAGTAAATCGCATTGACAAAAATAAAAATTTCTAATAATCGATGAACTAATAATTTTTAAAATTCCTTTAAAAATTCTAAAGCCCTAACAATTTTTTAATATAAATCCACTCCTCAGTTGGTCCCTGAACAATATTTTTAAAATGTCTACGATTATGATCATCCATAAGTGTCGCCTAATCTTCCCATTTCGGTCTCTTATTACACTAAGGAGACTCATTCGTTTCAAGTGGCTAAAATTTACAAAGTTACCACAACACTCTATTTTCTTCTTGAAAATCCAGTCAACACCAACAACTTCACTCATTGTTTGGTCTGTAATTCAAGTATACTTCCTTTAAAGAAAGGATGTTTTTGAATCCTGTCCATGGTGTTAACATGTCATCAATAATAAACACGTACCGGCAAAACACCAAAAGACTAGACTTTTGGCTTTACACTCTTGAGTCAGGTCGGGATTGTTTATCCTTATGTTGCAACAATTTCAAACCATTCCTTCCTTTAGAGGAACAAACGTACAGGAACACTGGTCCTGTAAAACAAACTCTGAATGTAGTCTAAACGATTTTTTTTTTCAAAATTTTACAAAGTCAAACAGTTAACCACTGGTGTTGCTGGTGGCTATCCACTCTTTTTTGTTGCTATAGACTGGTTTTCTCTGAAACGGATGCAGACTAAGCAGTGCACCGAGAGCTTTAACGTGTATTGAAAGACTGGCTTATTGCAAACTCACACATAGGAGTATAGCCTCCGGAACCACATAAAAGTAACTAAGCTTTCAGTCCCACCAAAAAAAAAAAATGAAACAAAACTCTTCTCTCCCTCAGAGCCTTGTTTACTAATATGTGTGCGTGAGTGTATTTGTTTGTCTATGAGTATGCGTGTGTATCTAAAAGTGTTGAGTATGTAATATTGTTATGTCAAAGTCTATTTGCTGACCTATAGAACATGTCTAATGCATATTTCGGCCAAAAAGTGTAACAACCTTTAGAAGCCGTATTTGTTGGAATTTTACAAAACAACAACGACAGAAAGAACAAAAACACCATCTAAACATGAAAGGCGATCGTTCAATGCTTCACTGTGTATACGAAAGAGCTTTATACGAAATTGCTATTACAAACTCTACGTCGGTTGTCCTTGTTGCTGTTTATACACACATACGCACATTCCGAGAAACTCACGTGCTATACAACACATCCTACATCCTTTGACCAGCCAACCAAACAACCAACCATCCATAGTGTGTGTGCTAAATATGAGAAATGTGCGTAAGTGTCGTTCAAAATCGTTTGCTGTGACAAAAATACGACAATGAGTTTATGTGTGCGTGTGTGTGTGGGCGCGTGGATGCCATCATTGCAGGACTCCTTCAGCAGACGACGTTACATCCTTGATGTTGTTCTCCACTCAAAATGGTTGCTGTTTCTATTATGTTATCAACATTGATTGGCAGACAGTGTTTGTATGCACGCACTTCTTCTTTTCTCGTTTTTGTAAAATATAATTTTTAGAAGTTCAGGCATTTGAGGGCTTTTAAGGCACGTCAAACAACATAAAGTGATTCTAAAGTGGCAGAGGTACTACGTACAATAAAGTCATAACGTTTGAAAGCAACCAGACCGAATCTTTAAATGTTGTAGTTTGGAGAGAAAATTTACGGTTTAAATGTGGAAATTTGAACGTGGTGAAATAAGCTGTTAGGGATTAATTTTTAGGTGAGATAATTTCAGGGTGTAGTGTTTGGGCTTTAAATAACTTATTTTCAGGGTTAACAAGGGCATGGATTTTTTTAAATTATTAACGACATGGATTTTTTGAAAAATTTTTTTCCTTAAAAATGTTTTTAATAATTTTTAAAGGAGTCGATTTTTGAAAAATAATTTTTTATGAACTATCAAAGGCGTGTAGTTTTTAAAGATAATTTTTTAAGGAATATCAAAGGTGTGGATTTTTCAAAAATAATTTTTTAAGAACTATCAAAGGCGTGGAGTTTTTAAAAAATTTTTTAGAGCTATCAAAGGCGTGGAGTTTTAAAAAATATTTTTAAGAACTATAAAAGGCGTGGAGTATTTAAAAATATTTTTTTTTGAACTATCAAAGTGGTGGAGTTTTTAAAATAATTTTTTTATGAACTAGCAGAGGAGTGGATTTCTTTTTAAATAATTTTTTTATGAACTAGCAGAGGCGTGGATTTTTTAAAATAATTTTTTTATGAACTAGCAGAGGCGTGGATTTTTTTAAAATAATTTTTTTATGAACTAGCAGAGGCGTGGATTTTTTTAAAATATATTTTTTGTAGCGTGGATTTTTTTTTTGTGGCGTGGATTTTTTTTTAAATAATTTTTTATGAACTAGCAGAGGCGTGGATTTTTTTAAAATAATTTTTTTATGAACTAGCAGAGGCGTGGATTTTTTTAAAATAATTTTTTATGAACTAGCAGAGGCGTGGATTTTTTTAAAATATTTTTTTTTATGAACTAGCAGAGGCGTGGATTTTTTTAAAATAATTTTTGAAGACTAAAGAGGCGTGGATTTTTTTAAAATAATTTTTTTATGAACTAGCAAAGTTGATGCTGCATCTGTATATATTTCGATTAAACATATCCTCTTAATATTAATTTAAATATTTTATCTCCCATTTTTCTATTGTGTTTTCTTAAAGCAATTTTACTTCAAACTTTTCCCGCTATCTTTTGTATAACAAATTCATTATACCTCTCAATTGTTTTTTTGCAGCCCAATTCACTTTCCACCCACCGTCTGTTCATTTAATTCCCCACTCCCGAAAATAATTTAATAAAAAGTAATTGGCTTATTTAAGTTTCAATTAATATTGTAACTTTTCATGCTGTCAACCTTTACGATTAAATTCTTAATTAGCTTAACTAGGCAGACAAATAACTTTGTCGTTGTCATCCCCTCCCCTTCCCATCCCACTACACCGATTTGAGAGTCATTACCTCCATTCAGCTACGAAATGAATACATTCCGCCCAAAAAAAAACACACACGCACACAAAAACAAAGACGATACGAACAAAACTTCATTAATATCTTAATGTCCTTTTTATCAGGACATATAAACTTGAACAAAGCCAAAATTAAAATGGACACTTTGAATAGTTTTTGTGGTCTATAGGCATCAACGGAGGTATCTCACACACACACTAAGAGGGCGCTGAAGTGGGGAGATAAATATCTTATGTTGTATGAAAATAAGGATAAAAAGGATTTCCGTAGAATTTAATTGCCAGGGTGGATATAATTTAAGCAGTCAATAAGTCAATTAAAAGAATGCTTTCAGCAACATTTCTTATGTCGTTGAAAGCCTTAAGTCTTATGGCTTACATTTAAAATCCTTTATCCATGATAGATAATCTCACAAAGAGTACTTACGTAATTCAGGACGTTTCGAGCAGTCAATATTATAGGGCAAATCACATTTCTCCTCATGGCTGCTGTAGTCATTGAAGACCATACCATCGGCACATAATTTCTCGGTAGGTACACCATCACTGTGTCGGGAGTCACCGGAAGTTGGGAAATAGATGAGAAGAGCAAGAAAAAAAAATAAATCATTATAAATTGAGTTGTTAAACATATAGGATATACGATATATTAGGGTGGGCATACATAATTTCAGATATATCAAGTTTTTTAATTTGAGGTAGAGAATGGGAATTTTTAAAATGGATTTTTAAAATTTTTTTCAGGGACTATCAGAGGCGTAGATTTATTTAAAATATTACCTCAGGAACTGTCAGAGGCGTAGATTTATTTAAAATATTTTTCAAAGACTATCAGAGGCGTGGATTTATTTAAAATATTTTTTCAAGAACCTATGCAAGGCGTGGATTTATTTAAAATATTTTTTCAAGAACCTATGCAAGGCGTGGATTTATTTAAAATATTTTTCAAGGCCTATAGAGGCGTGGATTTATTTAAAATATTTTTCAAAGACTATCAGAGGCGTGGATTTTTAAAGTAGAATTTTTCAAAGACTATCAGAGGCGTGGATTTTTAATGTAGAATTTTTCAAAGACTATCAGAGGCGTGGACTTTTAAAATAGAATTTTTCAAAGACTATCAGAGGCGTGGATTTATTTAAAATATTTTTCAAAGACTATCAGAGGCGTGGATTTATTTAAAATATTTTTCAAAGACTATCAGAGGCGTGGATTTATTTAAAATATTTTTCAAAGAATATCAGAGGCGTTTTTAAACATATATTTTTTAAAGAATAGCAGAGGCGTTTTTAAACATATATTTTTTAAAGAATAGCAGAGGCGTAGATTTTTAAAAAAATATTTTTTAAAAGCGAAAATTTTTTAAAAATATTTTTTCAAAGGCGAAGATTTTTTAAAAATATTTTTTCAAAGGCGAAGATTTTTTAAAAATATTTTTTCAAAGGCGTAGATTTTTTTAAATATTTTTTTTCTGATTATTTAAAAAATGCTTCTTCAAAGACTACCAAAAGCGTAGATTATTTAAAAAATACTTTTCAGCGACTATCAGGTCATAGTCAAACATATCTGTGTCCGGTAAATCCTTATGTGTAAGCCAAATTTATATAATTTTCAACCTAATATATAATACCCGGATATAGACTTACTATTTCATGTTTTCGAAATAACTCTTCGGAAAAATAGAACACTTAGCATTACTGTAAGAAGTTGTTTGTTTATTCTCCCTATTTCAATGGCAGGTGATAAGTACTTATCCATTAACCTAGTACCCACACTCTGCCTTCCCATCCTCTCCGCCTACATATTACAAACTGGAAAAAATAACCGCAACAACAACAACAACGGTAAACATATCCAATGTGTAACCATTGATGATGTGGCCCAAAGGGCTTTAAGATAAATGAAGATTCAAAAGGTAATATAACATTTAATTGAGTGTTTCTCTTATTTAGGATTTGCCACAAGGGGAATATCCTTAATGTGTTTTGTTTTTTTCTGTTGTCCTCAAAGTAAACCCCATTACTACTGCATTCTTTTTCTGGTTCTCTCGAGATAATTTCGTGGATGATTTGTATTTGTATTGGTGTTCTGTGTGTGTGAATATGTGTCTGTGTTTGCGTGTACATTTCTAATGATTGGTTTGGTACTTTGGCATGTCACAGGACATTAAGGAGTGTTTTGGGACACCAATTGCGCTGCAGTGGCAGTAGTAGTGATTCCTTCTTCCGTAACCAATAATTCACATAGAAAACAAACACACACTCCAACAGCAGTAGCAGTAATGGTTCGCATCGAGGGAATTCTCCTTGCAATATGTTTACCTCACTCACTTCAAATGGTGTGTGGAAGGATGTAGAAGAGGTGTTTATGGCAGTAATCTAAATCGAAATTTAGTGTACGGATGTATTTTTTGGGTGCTAATGTTAGTGTTAAAATAATTATTTATATCAAGTGTCGCCCACACACACATTTATATAATTGATATTAAATTGTGGCGGTGTCAAATGTCATATGGTGTGTGTGTGTGGGGAATTCAAAATTGGGATTGGAATTTATTTACTTGAGTATAGCAGTTTGGAGAATTCAAAAGAGATTTATTGCAAAGTAAAATTGGATATATAAAGTGTTTGGAGTTTTCAATTGACGTCAATGGCAAGAATATTCCATAAACGACTAGGAAATAAAATGAATTATGAAGAATCCGAGCAATTGAAGAAATTTGGACTGCTAAAATTTTTGGACTATTAAAAGTAATATTTCAAGGACTATCAGAGGCGTGGAGTTTTTAAAATATTTTAAGGGACTATCAGAGGCCTGGATTATTATCTCTAAAATTCATGGACGGTAAACCATATATTTATTATGTCTGCAAAATAATATCTTAGATAATGGTGGATCTGTAACAATATAATCTGTGAGATATTGAACGGTTAAGGGCATTTTATTTAAACCCGTCAACATCATTATCAAAATGATAAATCGATGGAGAACATTTTATCTGCGATGGTTTCCAAGAACATTATATTGGAACAACTTCTGGTTGCAAAGCTTACAATGACATCTCCCAGGCAGAAATTAGCCACAGACCAATGTCTTCGCCATTGAAAACTTGACCTTTCCCATATTTGCCATGAAAAGTCGACCATAGATGACATTGCTTACCATGAAACCTAGAAAACGTTTCTGTTTTGAGGTAGAATGTGAATTATTATTCAAAGATTTCGTTTTCATAAATTTAAAACCAAGGAAGAAGTTGTGCATTCACCAGGAATCCGGAATGTCAATCTACAGTCACTTCGGCGATAAGATTTTCCAAATATATTCTTAATATAAGGGGCCATGTCAAAAGTTGGAACTACGTTGAAAATCTTCTGAAACTTCGGTGGGGAAACTTGTCTAAACTTTCAAACTGAAGAGAGTCGATATAATGAGCAATACAAAACCATGCACCGATATAGATAAGAACTTGCCACTGACGGAAATTGCTACAATTTTTACAATCAATTCGGTTAGAAACCCTGCCGAAAATTCTTCAACTTCCGAAATTGAATATCAAGAACTAACCGAGGCGTAAATTTTTTAAATATTTTTTATAAAGTGCTATCCAGCGTGCTGTGTGACTGAAGCCAATGATCAATGACATTACTGAACCATACCAATACGGCTTCAAACCTGGCAAATCAATTATTGACAGATTTTAACTCTGCGCCAAATCCTGGAAAAGACCCACGAAAAACACATCGTCACATTCCTTCTATTCGTCGACTATAAAGCCGCATTCGACAGCCCTATCCGTTCAGAGGTGTTTAAAGCCATGTCTGCGTTCGGAATTCCTGCAAAATGAATACGGCTATACAGGATAACTCTGAGTGGCACAAGGTAAACAGTTAAGTCGGAAAGGACCTCTCGCGGCCCTTCAATACCGAACGAGGAAAGGAAAAGGTCATACGAGACACAAAGGAGAACATAAATGCCGATGACATCGATATAATGGGTCGAACATTGCGAGCGGTAACAGCCACATTTAAACAAATTGAGAAGGAGTCTATTTCAATAGGTACTTACACACAATGATAGTATTTATCACATTGTTTGGAGTCAGGGAAGAAACCATCAGATTCGGGACATTCTTCGGTGGGTTCGTAATCATCTTGAGAGGCTGGTGGTTCGGTGGTACGTTTGGGGAAATGACGTTGAGATTTTGGATAGCTGGGACCGGCCTTGAAACCAGGACGCTGGGCCAATGTACAGCCTATAAATAAAGCAAATAAGAAAATTGGGATTAAAATCAAAAATATTTAGAAAATAGTTTAAAACTAAATAAACCAAAGTTACAATGGGTTGGTAAATGAATATCAACGCTTGTTAAGATTTGTAACTTTGTATATATATGTATATATTGAAAATTTAAAAGTAAAAAAATATTTTGCAACATTTTTGTTGTTGTTTTTTGTGATTAAAGAAAAGTATTTATTTTTGATGGACCTGATTCCGAAAATTCCAACAGCATTAGAAAGAATACATGTCTGATTCTCGTATGAATTGATTATTGAATGTAGGTTCGAATTAAAAACAATAAATATATTTTTTTAAACGAGAATGGGGGATCATCTAAAAGGACTAACAACAATCTTCCACCACATTAAGTGACAAGGCGACAATGGCTAGTTGCAAATACTATATGTATGTCAAATAGTTCACAATATGAGTTTTCATAAATTTTGTTTGTGAGACACGAAACTATGCAATTCTCATTGAACATTGTAAATAAACCCTTCACTTTTTATACACTGAAGAAACCCAAATAATAAATATATCTAAATTTTGAAATTGGAATTAATACCTTATTCAAATTTTCATAAATTAAATTTGAAGTTTGCGCCACTCTGAATTGTTCAAGACTTACAATAAATAAATATTATGTTTTTTAATATTTCCTGATAAAATAGAAAACAATGTTCTCTCAGTGTATATTCAACGGTCACGTTATTTATTATTTATTACAAAAAGTACATAAAATTGATAACAAACAAAGAAAACAATACAGTTTGTACTAGAAAATAGTGAAAAGTCAGTGTGTATAAACTGTAACATATTTTGTTACCGCTGACATTGTCATAGATTGCAGTTACATGTTTTTTTCTTCCTTTTCGAGAATGGTGCAATTTTTAGGAAACATCAGCCAAACTATTTCCTTTGTTTGAGCATTTGTTGGTGAGTCAATTGAGTGACAGGAAAATGAAATTAAATAAAAATATTCTAAAATAATTTTAAGGGTCCAGGACAATGAGTTTGTCCTTATAAAAAATATTATATGGGACTTGCACAAGGCGCAGATTTAAAAAAAATATATATTTTTAAGGGACTAGGACAAGGCGTAGATTTTTATAAAATATTTTTAAGGGACTAATAGAAGGCGCCGATTTTTATAAAATATTTTTAAGGGACTAATAGAAGGCGCCGATTTTTATAAAATATTTTTAAGGGACTAATAGAAGGCGTAGATTTTTAAAAAATATTATTTAGAGACTTCAACATGGCGCAGATTTTTAAAAAATATTATTTAGAGACTTCAACATGGCGCAGATTTTTAAAAAATATTATTTAGAGACTTCAACATGGCGCAGATTTTTATAAAATATTTTTTAGAGACTTCAACAAGGCATAGATTTTTATAAAATATTTTTTAGAGACATCAACAAGGCGTAGATTTTCATAAAATATTTCTTAGAGACTTCAACAAGGCGTAGATTTTTATAAAATATTTGTAGGGACTTCAACAAGGCGTAGATTTTTATAAACTATTTTTAGAGACTTCAACAAGGCGTAGGTTTTTATATTTTAGAGACTTCAACAAGGCGTAGGTTTTTATAAACTATTTTTAGAGACTTCAACAAGGCATAGATTTTTATAAAATATTTTTTAGAGACTTCAACAAGGCGTAAAATAATTTTTAAGAACAAGGATAAGGTCTAGATTTTTCTAAAATTATTTATAAGGGGCTTAGACTAAGCAAACATTTTTCTAAAAACTTCAACTCATTTTTTTAAATTCTGCAGATAACCCATTTCACATACATTTCCGAATTTAAAAATTTACACTTTTTTCGCTCTTTTGATATTTGGTTTTTGTTGATTTTTGTGGTGCATTACAAGGACGACCTAGAAAATCCCATGATATCATTGTGTATTCTTATTTTTGTTGCACCAAAACCAATTTCTTGGAAAAATAACATTGCATCCCAAAAGAGTGAAACAAAATTTTGTTTGATATTTCAACACAACCATTTGAATTTGAAAAAAAGTTACAGTTTGACACAGTGAATTTGATTTTAAACGTATTGACCATTTTTCAATTAAATACTGTGACATTTCAATAAAAGAAAGAGAGAGACTCAACAGAAAAAGAATTATCACAAAGTGGATGGCTTAAATTGAAAGGAACCGATGAAGAAGAAAATTATAAATGACATTACGATAAATTAATTTTTAGAAGAAGGGAATTAAAATAATAAATGGAGAGATTTCATTTAATTGAAATGAAAATAATATTATTATTTAATTTTTCGGTTTGAAATATTTTTTGTAGGGGCCCAATAATATTTCCTCATAAACCTCATTTAAATTTTTTGCACAAAAAAAGAATCACATTTACATATTTATGATGCCAGCACAAGGTTATAAATATTTCTTGGTGTTCTGTGTGCTTTAGCCTCAAGAGAATTGATATACGATGCATTTACTCTCACGCATACATTTAAAATATATGTTTATGATTTTAATTACATTCAAAGGAATTATATTTAATTTATTTTTAAATTCCAAGTGTATGACACATACGAACACTCACAGCTTTACATTCAAACACACACTCACACCTACAACCATTCAATTCACACATTCGCCATTGAAAAATGGAAAACCAGTCTGTCCTTCTACATTGACTGGCTTCGCATGTAATGAATTTATGGATGTGGGCAATGATGTAAGTAAACTACATGCACACATGCATACAACGCACACACAGAAGGGAATAAAAACTGATATTCCATTGCCCAAGTCCTTGCGGTATTGTACACATACATAGCCACACATTTTCATTTATATCCTTATGCCTTTAGTTACTCATTAACTAACCTCTTGACTTGTTTTTGTAGACTTAAAATTTATGCCAGATTGAAGTAAAGAAAAGAAAAACGAAGAAACCCCATTTCGTTAAAGATGAAAATCGTAGTAAAAACTCAGAGCCATGTAAAACCACATGATGTGAGTTTTAACTTGGTTGTAGCCTTTAACTTCCGTTTTCGTCCTCACACACACACACTCACAGTTATTGAAAGGATGATTTTTTTTCGTTGCCACTTATGTACTGTTAACGAAGCAAGGAAAATTTGAAAAAAAAAAATGAGGAAAAACTCAATTTTCATCTATGCGGTTAAAGGTTTTTCCGAGTATATGGATTTTTCTTGAGATGGATGGAACAGGTGTGGGCAATAATGGGCACTGAGGGGTGGGCAATTAAATAAAAAGCATAAAAAGTATTTTTCGGGGGCCTAGAACAAGTTGAAAATTTTCTTAAAATATTATTAGGGGACGAGAGCAAGACTAAGATTTTTATAAAATATTTTTAAGAGACTAATAGAAGGCGTAGATTTATTAAAATATTTTTAAGGCACTAATAGGAGGCTTAGATTTATTAAAATATTTTTAAGGCACTAATAGGAGCCTTAGATTTCTATAAAATACTATTTAAGGAACTAATAGAAGGCGCAAATTTTAATAAAATTCTTTCTAAGGGATTAATAGAAGGCGCAGATTTTAATAAAATAATTTTTAAATGATCTCATGTGATTTTAAGGGATCTGAACAAGGCGCAGATTTTTATAAAATAATTTTTAAATGATCTGATCTGATTTAAGGGGTCTGTACAAGGCGGAGATTTTAATAAAATAATTTTTAAATGATCTGATCTGATTTAATGGGTCTGTACAAGGCGCAGATTTTAATAAAATAATTTTTAAATGATCGATCTTAATGGATCTGATCTAATTTTTAATTAATTTTAATTATTAATTTTTTTAAAACATTTTTATATTTCAAGGGACAAGACCTCGATTTTCATAAAGTATTTTTTAAGATTTTTGTAAAGAAGCTAGTGTGCGTTGTATTCTTTTATAAAATATTTGGTCTTCCCAGCAAACTGTAATCTCTCACTGCCTCCCTTAACTAATAGTTTCCTTTCCATTTTTGTTGCGAGGTTTTTGTGTCAAAGTTTTTGAGATTTTCAAGTGTCAACTAATTAATCCCTTAACGCTAATTTTCTAAGCTCTTAATATTTCCCATGTTTATATGTATACGACTATATATGTACATATTATATGCTTTAATAGTTGATGACTAAAAATCATCAAGAAGACATGAACTAAATACTGATGTGAAAAGTAACATCAGGATACACCATAGTACATACAATTGTATGACTTTTCTAGAGGTTTGCATCTTACGAAGTGTGAGGTCTTGTTTTCTTTCTGTTTATCATTTTCCATAAATGGGAGACAATTTTGAGATTTTCAATGTAGACTTGTTTTCATCCTAAATACACAAAATAATATACATACAAATGTGATTACTAAAGTATATTCGTGTGTGTAATTGTATGTGTATGTTGATATTTTATAGCCTTATGTACATAGGTCGTCTAAAAGCACATGTTGACACCATGTCAAGAACATCAATTGTGGTTAGTGTTGTATTCGTCATCATATACGATGCTTATACGAGGGATGCTATAATATTTCTAATAATGAAAGTGCGATTATTTTACATCAAACCCTAATTTATTATACCCTACACAACTATGTTGTCAGGGTATTATAGCTTTGTGCAGCCCCAAATGTTTGTAACGCCGCGAAATATTGGTCCTAGACCCACCTTTAAGTATACCGATCGTCATATCTCGACTAGCTGAGTCGATCTAGACATGTGTGTCCGTCTGTCCATTATAATTTGTAAACACGATACAGGCCGCAGTTATGGACCAATCTTCACGAAATTTTGCATGTAGGAAGGGTTCTGGCCAATGAAGACCCCTATTGTTTTTGGTGAAAATCGGTTAATATTTGGGGGATGAAATGGACCAAATACTTAATTTTTGTCGGTTTTTCTGGTCGCTCCAGAGGCCGCAATTATTTTTGCATGAAGAAGGGGATCGGGCCAGAGAATAAGCATGCATGTTTTGATAAAGATCGGTCAATATTTAGCGGGTCAAA